CCTCCTTCCCTCAGCCAGGACACTGAAGATGGGTCATGGATGGCTCTTCCAGCATGACAATGACCCAAAACATACCGCCAAGGCAACAAAGGCATGGCTCAAGAAGAAGCACATTAAGGTCATGGAGTGGCCTAGCCAGTCTCCAGACCTTAGAAAATCTATGGAAGGAGCTGACACTTCAAGTTACCAAGCAACAGTCAGGAAACTTTAAGGATTTAGAGAAGATTAGTAAAGAAGAGTGGACTAAAGTCCCTCCTGAGATATGCACAAACCTGGTGACCAGCTACAAGAAGCATTTTACCTCTTTGCATGCCAACAAGGGTTTCTCCACCAAGTAATAAGTCATGTTTTGCTTGGGGATCAAATACTTATTTTACTGAATGAAATGCAACTCAGTTTACATTTGTATCATGTGCTTTTTGGGATTTTTTGCTGATATTACATCTCTATCCTTTAGAATAAACCTGTGATAAAAATTATAAACCCTTAATTTCTTTGTAAGTGGGCAAACCTACAAAATCAGCAGGGGATCAAGTAATTATTTTCCCCACTGTACCTGATGGAGCAGGGGGTGTGCCAGGTCCTTTATCTCCATCTTCAGCCCTTGCAGTTCCTCCTTGTCTCCCTCCAGGTGTAGTAGATGGAGGCTGATTGCAGAAATGTGGGGGAACACCTCGGCAGAGAGAAGATTGGGGATGAGGAAGTGGGAGGTTGGACTGAGAGCACTGGAAAGGTATAGAAAAAATTATATTCAGTGTGTCAGCTGACACATTTAATACCTGACATATTTCCACACATTCCTACTGGTGACAAAATGTATTTTTTCCTTTTGTTTGGATTTTTTTTCCAGACTAACCCACCTGCTGATCCATATATGAAGGGGTTTGATGAGACTGACACGGTGCTGCTCCTCCACAATATGGTTCATCTTGGCCTCCAGATTCTCTACTGCAACACTCAGCATTATATCTGTAGGCATGTCTAATGTGGTACTGTAGTAGTCCTACGTTATTTGATTGAGCAAAGAAAGTAAAGAAATTTTCAGTTTGGAAGAGGTTTGAGTTTGAAAGTTCTATTAATTAAGAACCCCTAATTTAGGTCTACCTGACAATGCTCTAGGAAGTCACTGAAACCCCCTAAGAGCATCGCTTTGCCTCCTCGTTCCACCAGTTCCCTCCAGACCAAAGGGGATTTCTCGTGTTTCCAGCCATTTCTTTTGCAGGTGGTGTCCAGCCATTCCTATCAGACGCCAGGGAAACTGTCACCTCAACGTGACATTAGGTGACACGAAGAATACAAATCGTTTTTATATTAAAGAGATTTAACGCCATTTTAAAATAAGAAAGATTACCTTCCATTCATCTGGGAGGATGGAGATCTTATAGACCCTGAAGTTAGGGAGCGATCGCTGCAAAGCGTCTGCCAAGAGTTCCGCCTTGGCGTAATGAGGGCAGTCTATTTTGCCTGTAGATGATGAGAGTGTAGATATCAGAAATGTGATCATTTTTATTTAACGCTTCACCTAAATACTGGAAATGAAAACTAAAAGCTAATTTTACCAGCCAGCACAAACTTTGCCATTGTATCCGGATAGCGTTGGTTGCTAGGAAACCGTGGATGTTGCGCTTATTTGAGTCCGAGTAGAAAACACCAAAAAAAAAAAAAAAAATCAACATGTGTTATGAAAAGGTGAATGGTTGGCTTTTTTTTAAACAATGGATACAAATATTACATGTTTTATATTCTCGATAATACGTGTTTGTTTATTATAATTCTTCTATTATGAGTTTGAGAGTGCATGGAGCACTAAGTTGACAGGGGGACCAAAGATGGCAGCGCACACAGCTCTAACTAGCGTGTTATCTAACATGAATTGTAGTAATGCTATTGGCGTATAATTTTTTATTTTGTTAGATTGTTTTTACTGTAATGGCGCTATATGCCTCTTCTCCGAACGATCTTTCCAGCTAAATGTTTCAGCAAGTGCCGTGTATTACTCTGTGACAGTTGTTTGTATGTTTCAGCGATTAGAGTAATAAGGTAGGAGGCATAGCTAGCTAACCTTAATTAATGTAAGCTACCCAATGTTTTCACAACGTGTTTGCAGCTTTAAGTGATTTTGTAATGCACCATTGTTGCCAACTATCATAATTTAACTGTCTACACAGCCAGGAATATAACGTGGAACTGGCCAAATAATCGTTTAACGTCATCGTTACTCAGCTAGTTATTACCCTTGCTTGAGTAATAGGCCTAGTTACTTTGACTTTATCTACGCAAGTTGACCCGCTCACATAACATGACTTGTCATTAGTTTGTAGCTACTTGCTTCTCATGGGGCAGTGCTGAAATTCATTAGGACGTCCTAGTTGTTTTTTTCTTTCATCAGAGAACAATGTCAGTCTTGGTTATAGACAAGATCATGAGGCGGGTCTTGCGCTCCTGCAGCCATAGGTCTTTATGGCAACCTGACAGCATGCAACAAAGACAAATATTTTTCTAATCGACATTTAGCACACATTTGGGGCACAAGGCAAAGCCAGACATGCTTTACTAGAATTTTTTTTAGATCAGTGAAGTATTACTCACAGGGTGGGATTAACAGCGATGAATTAAAAGAAGAGGAGGAGCATCTCTTTTCTCTACTCTCTGAGTCTACTGTGCCTGCAGAGAGCCAGTCTGCTGAAGCTGTCTCTGAGCAGGGGCAGACGAGGTACCCCTTCTGGGACTGCCTGCAGCACTGTCGCTCCCCATCAGATGTGTTAGACCTCACAGTTCAGTACGCACCCACAGTTCGACAGGTCAGCAACTCTCTGACCCACATGTGGTCCACCACTAAAGTGATGTCAGAAGAGCAGCGGCGCTATGAGCTGCAGCTGATGTTTGATCATCCTGCATTCAATGAACTACTGCAAACTGCTATGAAGGTTGTGGGACTCATGCGTGTTGAGGACTTGGCTTACTCTCTCTTGAGCATGGTCAAACTGGGTGTGCCTCAGCGTAGCCGTGTGATCCATACTTTCCTCCGAACCTGCCAGGTAGGCAATCAGATATTGTCAACCAGCAAGAAAATCTGATTTTATACTGTCAATATTTTTGCATTGTTGTGTAACCAGATTTTTTTTTTTTGGTCCACTAACAGGACAAACTGAATGACTTTGATGAGAGAAGCCTTTCTGTCTTGGCATCCACCCTGGAACACATGGAGGACAACCCCAATGTTGACGCATTGAAGCAAGGCATGAGGTACTATATATAAAATGATACATATGGCTCAGGCAAAAAGCATGAGAACATGCATGAGGATTTTAGAACTGCTGCAGAAAATAAACTCATGCATCATCAGACAGAATATATGTATTTTTTCATGTCCTAAATAACTATTTACCACTTCCTTTGTAGATTTATTTACAGTTTATATTGTGGCTCTGTCCTAGGTTAGTAGTTGAGTTCCGTCTTCCTGGGATCAATTCTGTAATGGCTCTCCAGACCATGATGCGTATGTTGGGGAAGGATGCTCCACTGGGCCTCAAACGGAAACTAGAAGTCAGTTTATGAGTCTTGGATTTGATATTGATATTGATATGTGTGTCAGTGTTACAGGCTGTCTAATTATTGCATGTTTTAATAACAACACTTGGTGAAAGAACAGGTGGTGATACCTTATAGCTTTTACTTTTACTTGACATAAGCTTAAGCATCACCAGAATTGACTGCATTAATATCTGTAACTGACCTCTATCTTCACAATTGTTTGTATACCTATTGATCCAGGCAAAGGCTTTATCAATGACAGACCAGTTCAGCCTTCCCAACACGCACTACATGATTTCCACTATGGCCTCAATGGGCTTCTACTCCAGACCAATCCTGGATGTCTGCAGTAAAAAAATCACAGGTAAAATATTTTCCTGAACATGGTTAAATAAATTCTAGATTAGTTATGGGCTTTTTTCAAAGTCTTACCAATGTGCTATCCCACTTTCTACGTCTGTCCTGTTTGGTAGAAAACCTCCATGGAACCCCCTTCAGCAGACTCTATTCAGTGCTGCAGTCATGTACAGAGCTGCATTACAGAAACATGGATCTTCTCACTGGCATTGCAGACTATGTTCTCTCCACCCTAGATGTATGGACCAAAAAACAGGTGCTGTAACAGTCTGCTGTCTTCTAACCCCTTTTTGAGAAAAGTTAAACAAGAGGTTTGTCCTTAGCTAGTTGGCTTTAATGCTTTCCTCCATTTTGTTCAGGTGCTTCTCTTCCTATCTGTGTTTGAAAGCCTCGCCTTCTGTCCCACTGCATTAATGGAGGCATTTGCTGAGTGGATTATCGCCAACCCAGATGTCCTAACACTCAAAGACCTCCTCTGTGTCCTGAGGGTGTACTCCTCTCTTAACTATGATCTGCAGAACCACAGACAATTGTAGGTCACTCACATTCATGCACAAGTTTGCACCATTCATGCACTCATTAATGTTACTTGTTGCTTACGTTTAGCTAACGTCAGGTCAAACTATGTGTAATTTACCACATTAAAAAGCTAGAGCTACCGTACCACCATCACTATTACTGGTAAGCTTTGATGTCTTTATTGGGTTTCATCTTGCTGCTCCAGGTTTCTGGATAGTCTCAGCCAGGCACTGGACACCTATCTGCCCAAGATGACTGGGTCTGAACTGTTAAAGTCTGTTTACTGGCTGTGTCTACTGGGCCACTTCCCCTCTGCACCACTGGAGCAACTCCTGCGGAGTAGCACACTGGACCAGTTTGGCAGTACAGGTAAGACAGTGAACTCACACAGACACAATTGTCTTTATATTTTATTTCCTTCGCACTGGGATTTTTGAATTTAATCTCTCTCAATATTTCATTTCTTCTTAGCACCAAAGTTGCTTCAAAACCAGGAAAAAATGTTCCAGACAGTGGACTTGTGCCTCCGTCTTGACCGTCCTCCTCTCCCTAGGCCCCTGACTGTCCTGCCATCTGTCCTAGGTGACCCAGTCTCGTTCAAGAGCCCACCGCCTTGGCTCTTGGAAAGCCTCCATAGCATGCTGAGGGACCAGGCAGACATAACGCTGCAGGAAATGGTAGTGGTGGAGAACTTCTACCTCATAGGTAAAATTTATGACATAGAGTAGTATCAGCTTGGGTTTCTTTATTAATTTCTTTTACTGTATTTTTTTTAAATTAAGCGGTAGTATCCATCATTCAATGCATTTGATGATTATACTAAAATTATTTCACTGTAACTTTGATTCAGAAAATTTATAGCTCCTCTTGAAACAGTAATGTGAGCAAGCAGCTTTGTTTGTGTGTTCATTCCCAGACTGTGTGATCACCAAACCTCTGCCAAACCAAACCTCTGCTACTGAAGCGAGTAGTTGTGCAGGAGAAAAGTCATCTCTGGCAGAGAGCAGTCAAAGGTAAGGTATCTGCAGTAGAGTCTGTAGTAGCCGGGCCAAACGCACTACTATAATATACAGTGGGTACGGAAAGGATTCAGACCCCCTTAAATCTTTCACTCTTTGTTATATTGCAGCCATATGCTAAAATCATTTAAGTTCATTTTTTTCCTCATTAATGTACACACAGCACCCCATATTGACAGAAAAACACAGAATGTTTGACATTTTTGCAGATTTATTAAAAAAGAAAAACTGAAATATCACATGGTCATAAGTATTCAGACCCTTTGCTAAATTTATTGGATATTTCAAACTTTTTTAACAAATAAAAAACTGAATAATTGGGCGTGCAAAATTATTCAGCCCCTTTACTTTCAGTGCAGCAAACTCTCTCCAGAAGTTCAGTGAGGATCTCTGAATGATCCAATGTTGACCTAAATGACTAATGATGATAAATAGAATCCACCTGTGTGTAATCAAGTCTCCGTATAAATGCACCTGCACTGTGATAGTCTCAGAGGTCCGTTTAAAGCGCAGAGAGCATCATGAAGAACAAGGAACACACCAGGCAGGTCCGAGATACTGTTGTGGAGAAGTTTAAAGCCGGATTTGGATACAAAAAGATTTCCCAAGCTTTAAACATCCCAAGGAGCACTGTGCAAGCGATAATATTGAAATGGAAGGAGTATCAGACCACTGCAAATCTACCAAGACCTGGCCGTCCCTCTAAACTTTCAGCTCATACAAGGAGAAGACTGATCAGAGATGCAGCCAAGAGGCCCATGATCACTCTGGATGAACTGCAGAGATCTACAGCTGAGGTGGGAGACTCTGTCCATAGGACAACAATCAGTCGTATACTGCACAAATCTGGCCTTTATGGAAGAGTGGCAAGAAGAAAGCCATTTCTTAAAGATATCCATAAAAAGTGTCGTTTAAAGTTTGCCACAAGCCACCTGGGAGACACACCAAACATGTGGAAGAAGGTGCTCTGGTCAGATGAAACCAAAATCGAACTTTTTGGCAACAATGCAAAACGTTATGTTTGGCGTAAAAGCAACACAGCTCATCACCCTGAACACACCATCCCCACTGTCAAACATTGTGGTGGCAGCATCATGGTTTGGGCCTGCTTTTCTTCAGCAGGGACAGGGAAGATGGTTAAAACTGATGGGGAGATGGATGGAGCCCAATACAGGACCATTCTGGAAGGAAACCTGATGGAGTCTGCAAAAGACCTGAGACTGGGATGGAGATTTGTCTTCCAACAAGCCAATGATCCAAAACATAAAGCAAAATCTACAATGGAATGGTTCACAACTAAACATATCCAGGTGTTAGAATGGCTATGTCAAAGTCCAGACCTGAATCCAATCGAGAATCTGTGGAAAGAACTGACAACTGCTGTTCACAAACGCTCTCCATCCAACCTCACTGAGCTCGAGCTGTTTTGCAAGGAGGAATGGGCAAATATTTCAGTCTCTCGATGTGCAAAACTGATAGAGACATACCCCAAGTGACTTACAGCTGTAATCGCAGCAAAAGGTGGCGCTACAAAGTATTAACTTAAGGGGGCTGAATAATTTTGCACGGCCAATTTTTCAGTTTTTTATTTGTTAAAAAAGTTTGAAATATCCAATAAATTTCGTTCCACTTCATGATTGTGTCCCACTTGTTGTTGATTCTTCACAAAAAATTACAGTTTTATATCTTTATGTTTGAAGCCTGAAATGTGGCAAAAGGTCGCAAAGTTCAAGGGGGCCGAATACTTTCGCAAGGCACTGTAGGCAGTTAAAATACTCGCATACACACACACACAGTGAAAATACACACTAACTATACTCACATACACACTTAACACACATCGAAAGAGTGAGCAACACACACACACAAACACACACGGTGAGAAGGATCAGAACACACCCAAGTGAGCAAGAAGGGGGGGAGAATTAGAACACAGAAAAACAAAACATGAAATATACTCACCTCAGCAACACAGTATACCTTCTGTGAACACGTGAAATTTGACAACAGTAAATTGCATTACACACAAAACGTGTGTATAAATTTTAACTCTATCAAAACTGCTATTTAGCAACTCATATATGTTTGGAACCTAAACGGGCTGTATTTCTCTTTTTTGTTTGATGCAACAACATAATCACATAAACATTAGACATGTAAAAACAACATCAATTTATCCTGTAAACATTTAAAACAACTTCTTTACATCAGTGGTAGTAATAGTGTTAGTGTTAGTGACAGCAGCGGTCCTCCACCACCTGTCAGAATAAAGCAAGTTAACTGGTTCCTCACTACACAAATACTTGGAGGACAGCCAAGATAGGAGATTAAATTTATAAAAAGAAGTTCTCCCACCTTAGGCTCCTACCTGCATATTCGTGACGCCAAAATAAAATCTGTAGTAGTTAGGATCTGATACGAACTAAATTAATTCAGGTCATCCCAGTTTAAATAATCATTTAATATTACAATTATTCTGAACAGGGTAGTAGTTAGGGAACAGAACAGAATCACCCCTCCTGCAATGGAATAGATACAGTATTAAATAAGAAGATTGTCACAGAGTCCATCAGTCATGCTTGGCCCTACAGTCAGTCAGTCCAGAGTCCAGTCCAGAACATGAACCTCTAGGTTACATTGACCTCACGCACATTTCTTTTTTACCCATCAATTAAACAAGGAGGACACAGCCAAGATATTCTTGCTTGAGCAAGAGAAGAGAAGAGAAACAGATCAGGCTTACATAAACATAACTACTACAAATAATATCTATATATGAACTACATACTATTCCATTGCATATTACCTCTGGACTGGTACCTTGTTTTTTTTTTTACCACTACAAGTCAACATCACCAGACTCTGTGATTAACAAGCCTGCAGTGATATTTTACACATTTTGTTTTTGATTTTAGATGCTTAAGTCACGGACTGTGATGTCTGGTATTGTGAAGGCAGTGGAGAGGATGTTTGTGTTTTTTGTTTCAGAAGTTGCCGCGCACTGGTACGCTGTGATCTTGTTCAGCAAATATCGATTCCACAACTTTGCATGCAACAAACCGAATGCAGCATGTCTATCTTTTGAATTAAGACAGCTCATAAAACCAGGACTGTTTAGAACTTCTATTTATACCACTGTGATTAAAGCTGCTGCAGAGTTTAAATCCAGTTTTAAACTCATTTAAAGGTTTGAGACAGGAAAGTCAAGTACAACTTTGAGTCACTCACATTTACTGAGCAACATTTCGATAAACAACTTAGGAGCAGGATAAAAAACGTTAAAAAACATCTGTACTTTTTATGGACAGAAGTCTTCATGGTGTCTTTTTAATATTTTTATTTGTATGTATTTTTGTTAAAGTGTACATAGTCTCTAAAATAGTCATTTTAATTTCATATACAGAGTCATCTCTTATTATCCTTCTCACTGCTGCACACAGTAGTGAGAAGGATAATTGTGTTGTCTAATTGTGTTAATTGTTCTGTTTTCAATCAGTTTAAACCGTCTTTTGAACCTGCTGGTGAATTATACCCATGCAGATTCAGCCAAATGATCCTGATGATTTGAAATGTGCTGAAAGATTTTCAGAAATACATTTTAGGAATATGGGTTTGTTTGTTTATATTGCACAATGCTTGTTCTGAACATCTGTCATTATGTGTGATAAAAATGTAATCAAATGAATTTTAAATGATTAGAGTGTGGATTCAGTAGCAGACAAACAAGAGAAATCCAAAAGTATAATAACCCTGTGTACTGCTCTGTCTGTAGTTTAGGTTTTTAGATCTAACCAAACCATCTCTACTTTCATCCTGTCATATCTAAACCTAAATTCAAATTTTGACCTTTATAAAGCTGACAAACGCTTGTTTTGGTGTTCAAGAATTGCAGTAATTTGCGCACCACGATCTGGTTTTTGCTGTGGTACCAATCCCCGTGGACCCTTAGCTGTCAAGATCCGCCATCTGAAGATTCTGGGATACAGCCCTGTCCTGGTGAGACTTTGACCCTCCTTCTTTGATCAGAAATCAGTGGTTATTAATGTTGTCAGTTTTAAAGTGTCATCTTCATACCAGCACATGAGAATATCTTACTGACATGTGGTAAAATGCTGCTTCAAACAGACTATTTTGACAGTTATTCTGGGTGATTTACGCGATCCTACTGTTGTCCAGGTAACACAGAAGGAGCTGCAGTCTGTGTCTGAGGAGAAGAGGATGGAGTTCCTCAGGGGACTGCTTTTCCCAGAACAGCACAGATCCGACATAGGAACTCCACTGGAGCAACTGGGATCTTGAAGACAGATGTCAGTGTTAAATGGATGCAATCACCACGATCATACATTTTGTTGTGTTACTCAAAGCTTAGCAACAACTAAGAAAAATAAATATATTAAAGTATTTAAAGTGACTGTGCACGCTTGATAAGTTAAGAGCTTATAATCAGATGAAAGGCTGTTTTTCTTTCTGGTTTAGTGATTACCTGAAAATGAACTTAAATGACAGGTTGTACTCATTTTTTTTTTTTTTTATTTTTGCCTCTACTTCTAATTAGAAGTAGAATAGTTTGTATACCATGAGCTTGAATATCAGCTGAATCAAATGCTTCAAAAAGCTGCAGCCTGATGCAGGAAAATGGCTGAAATATTTCCTTTTTCTCTTTGTCTAGTAAATCTTATATCAGAGTAACTTTACAGTCTTTGAGTAAGTTTACAGTGAGTTACCAATGTGTCAGTCACACGTGTACCTGCTGTACTTGATGACTAAGACTGCGCTATTGAATGAAACCAACGATCCCAGTGTGTGTGTTTGCAATAACTAAACAGAAACTGCAAGGTGAGCAAGGTAAAGGTGGAGTCCCTTTGAAGCGGCCACATCTGCAGAAAGCACAAGGAGGGGAAAAAATAAGTAGAAGGAAGACAGGAAATGGCGCACATTGTTATTGTTTGAAGTGTTTGCCTCTCATCGTATATGTGCTTCTCGTCAAGTTTCTGAGAAGATGTGTTTCTTTTTAAGGGCATGCAGATTGGAGAGTGATAATCAGTTCCATGGTAGTTTGTAGAGGACTTTTTTTTTTTTTTTTTTTTTTTTTGAAAATTGTGGTCTGGTTCACGATATCACACCAATCTATAAAGTGAATGAACCGTTTGAATGTGGTTAAATCCCCTCATTCAGTCACCAGCCTCTGTTTTTACCACAAAGATAGGGGTTCCAAATAGAGGTGTGTGAGTGTGAGAGAGAGTAAATGAAACAGGAAGTGAGCAAAACCAGAAATGTCATGTATCTTTTTTTTTTTTTTTTTTTTTTTGAAAATTGTGGTCTGGTTCACGATATCACACCAATCTATAAAGTGAATGAACCGTTTGAATGTGGTTAAATCCCCTCATTCAGTCACCAGCCTCTGTTTTTACCACAAAGATAGGGGTTCCAAATAGAGGTGTGTGAGTGTGAGAGAGAGTAAATGAAACAGGAAGTGAGCAAAACCAGAAATGTCATGTATCTTTTTTTTTATTGTTGTATACAGTCACAGGTATAAAAGAAATTGCTACTTTTGCTGTGTAGACACAAAACAGCTACTCATTTATCAAAACTAATCCTCACACAACAATGTTAAGTGTAAGCTACAAGAAGGACACCCCTTCTGCTTGTATCTAAACTACTGGGGAGAGCTGTGCAAATGCTCAGATGATGGTTAAATCAGAAGTGTCGTTGTATGGGATTCTGAATCCCTTTTTTCTTCCTGCGTTCCCTTGGTCCTCTGGGTTTGGTGTTCATATAGTCGCTCTGGGAATCCATTCGCCTCATCTTCACCTGTAACACATGTGATGACAGTTGAACAGCAGAATTATCGCATGTGTGTGGGTGTAAGTCTGGGAATTTGGTAACCTGAAGTAAAGCTTGCTTATGTTTTTTTAAAGCTACACCTAATGGGATTCTTAAAGGCTGATGCCAGCACTTTTTTAGACTTGAGTGGTTATATTCTGGCCAAGGAAAATTAAGAGAAACATAAAAACAAAAGTTTTAAAAACAATAATTTAATTCTTTGTGAAGTTCTTAGAGGACTGCGCTCTGTTGGAAAGCTGGGGCATAAACGTGCTTTTAAATAAATAAAAAAAAAAAAACCAAAAACCTTTGAAGTTAAAAGTGGAAATATATTGAAATAATTTTTCCAGGTGAGAACTTTGTAATGTTTAAATGAACTAGAAAAAAATAGATTCAGTTTATATTTTTAATAGCGTCTTCCAGCATGGTGAAAGGTGGAAAGATTTCCCACAAAAAATGGAATATTTTCTCCAAAATGTATTTTTCAAGCACAACCTTTTGTCTTAGGTTGTATGTGTGTATCTTACCCATACAACAGAGGCGATAATGGTGACAGTTAGGCTGTAGATGAGAAGTAGTACAGCCACCAGAATCCAAATCCAGTGAAATCCATGGTTGACGTTATTGCTGTCTTCGATGCACATGCATTGGTATTCTGAAAGAAGCGGATTCAGCAAGAATTCAGTGTAGGGGGGCCAGGGCATCTTGTCACACTTTTCATTCTTTTTTTACATCCTGGAATCTGTACTTCATATTGTTTCAAATGGCAACATAGCAAATGAATGAAGTCTGAGCTATGCACTGATTACATTTTCATATCTTATTTCAGAACAGAGTTATGTGTAGTGGTTAAAAACAAGGTACCAGTCCAGAGGTAATATGTAATAGAATGGTGTGTAGTTCATATATAGATATTATTTGTAGTAGTCATGTAAGGGTGAGCTAAGTGTTTATGTAAGCTTGATCTGTTTCTCTTCTCTTCTCTTGCTCAAGCAAGAGTATCTTGGCTTGTGTCCTCCTTGTTTAATTGATGGCTAAATATCCAGAGAGAAGTCCTTCTTAAATGGGAAAATGGACATAGCTTCAGGCTTCAGCACAGTTTGTGTGCTCTGTTCATGTTTAGAAAAAGGAAATGTGTGTGAGGCCAACGCAACCTAGAAGTTCATGTGCTAGACATCTCAGACAATTCTCGGAAGAAGGGGTGTAGAGCTGGCACAGGACTGTGACTCTGGCTTAAGTAATAGGAGGCTGTCTCATCACCTTTCTTTCTTTCTTTCTTTCTTTCTTTCTTTCTTTCCTTCAAAACAGATTTACCCGGTTTTATGTTAAACATTATTAAACAGACAGTGGACAGTCCTGGACCCTTGTTTACATTACTTAAATAGGTTACCCCTATTTATTAACTACTGTTAATTTTATTGATAATATTTAATGACATTTAAAACCAGTTGGGTGTGTGTGTGTGTACTGCTGCCATATTTGCCATGGCTTGCTATATCTAATGTTAGATTAGCACAGGAAATTAGGAAACATTATTATAAGACACTACAGTCTCTCCTCTTCAAAGCACCTCTTAGGAATACTTACCATGTACAAGTACCAAGATGCTCAAAGTACTTTTTGTGAAGGGAGGAGGGAACTCGATTGTGCTCTCACAGCTGTAGATTCCTTGACTACTGTTAGTCAGTGCAGTGAGGGCGAAACTGACCGATGTATGTTTTATGTTTGGAGACACGCCCTCCTCGGTGCTTTCTGATGTGCATGTCCATCCATATACAGTTTTGTTACGGCTGCATGAAAGGCTGGAAATTATTTTCCGGTCTTTGTAAAGGCGAAACCTCACTTCTGACTTTTCAGTGGTCACATTTGGACACTGCACGTGCACAGTGCCTCTGTGAGATTCACAGACCGTTTTCAGGTGATCTGGACAGAAAGATGTGACAGTTATTAAGGGTGTAATTTTGTTATGATTTCTGATGATAAAAATAATATAAGATCTCTGAGTAGTGAGCAGGAACTGTGGCATGCAAAATGCTGCTAAATGATTTAAAAAGACAATGAAACTAACATTAAGAAACAGTGCTCTAAGCATAGATAAAGTAGCCCAGTATTGTGCTTGTTGTTGTTGTACCAAACTGAGTCAGGATGCCTGTCTTTGTGACCAAACACCTTTGCAGAGGAAATGGCTTCTTACAGCTACAACTCCTGCAAGATTGATTTCTTTGCATTTAATTTCCCCTAACTGAATTCAAGCATTGAAACTCGTCATTTCAAAGCAATTCCACCCCCACATGGAACTTGTTCAATAACAGCACATCTAAGCACATTGATCTCTTTTAAATCAGCCTCACGTTTCACATGAAAAACAGACATTTGCCATGTGACCGGCATACTTGACTCAGCTGCTGACTGACTCAAGTATGCTGCTTACTAGATTGTGGTTTATGTGGTGTAGTGCAAGGCATAACTCATATTGGTGTTTTGTGTTAACAGTTGCTCCAAAGTTCTGGCAACATTTCTATTTTTTTTATAATCCTTTGTTGACTCACTTTGAGAGGCATCCCAACCCAAAAATACATGAATTCAGCTGCATTAGGAGGCTACAGGAGTCGTTATCGGCTCTGATAAACAGGTAAACAGTCAGAATATGTTCACTATAAGCTACAGATGAGCACATTTCTGTTTTTTAAGCCTCAAACTGTGAATGTTTTATAAGGCTAAACTGAATCAAAGTTGTCAGCCAGAGCAGTTTCTCACATCACCGCTGCAATTTAACAATTACATGACACTCATTTTGCTGCACTGCTAGTAAGGGTGTTAGAATCAGTGTTTGCAAGTGAAACCAAACTGTCCCACTGTAAATATATATGCACTGGATTGTTAGACAGAAGTGACTATTTACTGCTAAGTTAGTTGCTTACAATTAATTGTATTTTAGTGGCTAATAATAGTAATTTCTACCAAATGATTTCTAATAACTACTGCATAAACATTAACCACTACCAGCATACAAGTTAGAATTTGTGTGATGCAGTAAAGTCTAAAACTTACCATTACAGGTGCAGTTGCTCTGAGACTGAGTGGCATGAGAGGTCCTGCAGCCCAGGAGGATCATTAAAATCCAGCAAACACTCATCTTGATCATTTGCACTATGCGCATGAACTGGCCTTTAGCAGAAGTATGTCCTCAAGACGTTCCCTCATCACCGAAAGCTTGAAGCTCCCCGCAAACGAATGGTATTTTACAGAGAATTTTGAAGCCTTACTTCGATATCATCAGCCCTGGTTCTGTGCGTGCTTTGCCTCATCTGTAATACATCATATCCTTGTTCTGCCTCTGACTGAAACACTCCCACAGTGCTACAGTGACTGAACCTCACAAATCTTATCTTGAGGGAAAACATCCTGTGGCAGAAAACGCCCCCTCTTCTGAAGTTTCCGCTCTCTCCCAGAGTTTGTGACCTTTTTATGCCTTAGGTACAGTAATGGAAGACTATGGCTATGTTAATTTAAACAGTTTTATTCCTATTTCTGTTTTCTTTTGTCTTGGGTATGTGATTTAAGACCTGTTTTTGTAAGTTTATGTAAAATATTATCTTATCTGAACTGCTGTTAAAGGTTAAGCAAACTTGTTCAATAAAACATTGTGGAGTAATTGTGAATAAGTGTGAATTTGTTTTTTAAAGCTGCTGTTTATTTGATTCAGTGTGATATATGGATCACTGTGTGGTTTG